CATCCTAAGGTACAAAGCTTCCAATCTTCATTCTTCAAGGATGAATCTTCTAAGCTTTCTCTCTCTAAGAATGCATGCTAGTCTATGTGGTGTTATGAGATTTTGTTGATTCATTTCATAAATAATGATTAGCTTTGCATGAGAGATTGTTTTGATGGATGATTTTGCCTTTCAAATGCTTGAAATTTCTTATGAACCCTAAGTTTGATTTTAGAAAAGTTTTGATTAGGTTTACTTGTTTTCCTTTGTTGATGTAAAATTGTGAGTTGAATTGTGTAGCTACATTGATATTAAGCTTGCATATGATATAAAGTTCCTACCTTTGGTGAAAGATTTGAACTTGCATGATAAACCACCATTGTTGCATTGAAAAAGAAAAAGAAGTTGACGTTTTAAAATTTGACATGCATTGTGTTGACTTTTGGAAATTGATTTTGATTGATCTAAATTGTCAATTCCTTTCATGGTGGTTTTCTAGATTCTCTTGTGTTACATGTGTGAGATGTATATCCTCCATATTTGCCTACCTTGTATCATGTTGATTAATTTACCCGTACTTGATTCTTCTAATTATTACAAAGGACCCGAGAGTGTTACTCTTGTGTTATGATTGAAGGAGATTTTCTATGTAGGAAAATGAAGAGAACTAGGGTCACGAAACCAAAGAAAGGAAAGTTTGTGGGAGAATCAAGTGCTCAAGGGGCAATAAGAGATCTACAAGCTAAAGTGAAAGAGGAACCCCAAGAGACACCCGGGGTAGGCCAAAGAATCAAATTAAAGGGGGATGCATTGTTCAAATTCAATAAGGCAAAGGAACACGCAATTTCTCAATGGAGGTACATCGATCCGCTACTCTTGGATGCGTTTGGGATCCGAGGGGAGGTTGAGAAACTCACGAGCTGGAAGAATTGGCGTGATATCTTCGCATGGAGGGATGTTACATATACCCCTCTAGTGCATGAGTTTGTAGCTACACTTCAAGTTAGTAGGGAAGTTACAGATCTCACAAACCCAGGCCAAACATTCAGTTTCAACTTTTCAATACCAATTACCGCATATCGGTGAATTAGTTGGGGAGGCTACTTGGTTTCTACACAAGAGAAGATCAAGAGGAAGAGGAGTATCGGATGTTTCCCTACGATTTGAAGGATGATCAAACGGTACGCGCTTATTGGGAAAATATCTCATACCCCGGAACCCGATGGGATGGATCATGAGTGCATGGAAGCGACATTAGTGGTGATTGCTGCATCTCAATTTGTGATTGATGATTTGAGGTGTAACACATAATTGATTTATTCCCTTGCCAATAGCTTTGTTAACCACTTAATAATTTGATTAATTCTTGATCTTGTGTGTTAAGCATTGCTAGTGAAGCCTTATGTGAGATTCCGATCATAGGTGTTTTGCTAGAACTTGCCTCATTACTCCCTAAGTGAAGTCTAGGTTTTGCATGTTTTGAAGTAATTTAGGCCATTTTTGTTTAGCCATAGCCTTTAAACCTATCCCAACATATGTTCTTATCCTTTGTGTCCCCATTGTGCCTCTCGTTTGTTTAAATAAGTGCTAAGCACTTATCCCCTCATTGTGATTTTTTTTCTTTGATTTACCCCCGTTATTATAACCCTTAGCTCTTGGCCAAATATTTCCCTTCCACCTTTAAGAGAATGAAACTTTTATCTTTATTATCTCTGTAAGAAGAGTTTTATGGAGTTGTGCCAAAAAAACAGCTGTTGTTACAAATGTTCAAAGTGTGGGGGTCATGAATGATTGGATTAAAATTGTCTTGCTATATTCAAAAGAAATCCAAAAGAAAAGAATCAAAGAAAAGATGAAAAAAAAAATTAAAAAAAAAAATAAAGAGAAAGAAAGATTGAACGTTTTTGAGTTTGGACCTCCACTTTACCAAAGAGTTGCTTTGTTCTTAAAAGAAATTTATTCCTTGAATTGTGATTGTCTCATCTCTTCTAAATTTTGAAAAGTTTAGATAATTGCAACATTCCCTTTTTTCGTTAATTTTTCCATGCCACTTCTTTGTTAGCCATCACCCGTAGCCCCATTACAAGCTAAATAAAGTCCAATTTGATCTTAGCATGCATTCTTAGATTTGATCTAGGGGAGTATGAAGGGAAAGCCTATGGGATCTCATTCATGAGCCGTGTTTTGCATAATCTCAACTGAGTACTTGTGCACACTTGATTCTCACATACTTTAAATTCTTGGTGCTTGGTTATTGGCTTGAGAATGGGTCATATGTGCCAAACTAATTTGATTCTTGAAGCTTATTGTTTTGTAGAAAGTTGGTTGGCAGTTTGAGAGGTTGTGTAAGAGAGAGTAGGAGTAATTTGTATGCTTTGACTTGTGACTTATTTCTTGGTTTTGCTTGAGGACAAACAAATGCTTAAGTGTGGGGAAGTTGATGTAAGCCTAATTGTGCATATTTCTAGTATTAGTTTTAATGTATTTGTTGGGCTTAAGTTCATCAATTTGGTAATTTAATTGCATAATTCCTTGTTTTATCATTAAGATATGGTTTTGCACTTGATTTGAATGTTTTACGTTGTTTGTTAGTGTTTTGGAACCATTACAGATCAAGTGCAAAAGCAAGAAAGTTCTAGGACAAGTTTGGAGCCAAAACAAAGTCAATGTGAACCTAAGGAGGTGGCTTAAATACATCAAAAGGGAGCCAAACAGTGGTGTTTTCAATGGTCTTCATCACTTGGGCAAACCGAGGCAAAAGTGGAGCAAAAGAGCAATAAGTGAAAATTCTCGCACAGATTGGCGACAGTTTGGTTTTTGGACTATATCTCAGCCTAGGAATATCCAAATGAAGTGATTCTTACGCCATTCGAAAGAAGACTCGAAGGGATACAACTCTTATGCAGACATCAAAGTCCAAATCTGAAGGGAAAAGGGTCAAAATCAGCCTGCAAGACGGACCTACGACACTGGAAATTCTCGACACGTTGAAAATTTCCAGTGTGCATTCTGAAATTTGAGGATTAAGGCTCGATGCATCGTGTCCAGACTCTACACGTCGAAAATGGTGGCCCAGGCGCGATTTTGGCCCATTTTTGCGCGAAAAATTCCTATTTCCTCCGAGATTGATTCAGACTATAAAATTCCTCCTTCCTCAACCCTAATATTCATTCAGAGATCTTTGGAGGCATGAAAGAGGGGAAAATCAAGAGCCACGAGTCGACTTGGGAAGCAAGAAGAAAGCTAAGGAGATTTGGGAAAATTGCCTGGTTCATTCTTGTACTCTCTTTGATGATTTGTAATTCTTTAAATATATTTGCTATGTATAATTTAGCCATGCTTGGCTAAATTCTTTAGAGATTATTGAGTAAAAGTGTTTATGACCCTATGTGCCCGAGCTCTCAGATTCTTTAATATATTATTATTTGGGTTTAATACTTGTGTTGCAATTGTGTTTATCATTCTTGTTGCTAGTAGTTTAGGGCCCGAATTACTTGCTTCATAGCTTTGTTTGTGTCAAAATGAGAGTTGGGCATAACTTAATTAGGGCACACACAATTGCACCTAACTGTTGCACCTTGAGAAAGGGTAATTTTGTTAGGGAGTTTAATTATTGATTATTGCACATCGAAAGATGGTAGTAGTTAGGAATTTATTATGATGCTTGTTCTTGTTTTATTGGGTGTTTATACCACGGGAGTGGATATTCACTAGTGCTAGTGACTACGGAGTAGCTCTGTACCACTTTGCATCCTCGCACCCGTTTAAACCCAAATTTAATATTACATTAGGTTAGGCACTAGGGGATTAAACACTTGAATCCCATGAATCTCATTCTCTCTCTCTATTGTTTTCAAAACCTGAATCATTGCTTTAATTTATTTCTTTATTTGCATCATTCACTCATAATCATTAGGATTAGCTTCTCGTGAATAAATTAGTAATTGGTGTTTAATACTACACTTCCCTGTAGATCGATAACTCGTTACTCAGAGTTTATTTGTTTGAAAATAACTACAATCACTTGACTCAAACTTTGGAGGGGCAAGGACTTTGATGCTACATTCCAAAAAGGGTTGCTACATATTGGTTTACTCTTCTATCCCTTACTTTTTAAAATTGCCCCGACTTTTATTCCTAATGTGTGGAAAAGGGGTTTGCATAGATTTGCTAGCTTAGCACATTCACCATGTCTTTTGTTGCACCCCAAGTCCCCGAAAACACTTCTAAAGTGTGGAAACACACTTAAATAGACTTTTACCTTGACCCGTGCTCCTTTGTCCACCTAGTGCTTAAAGTAGCATCGAGGAAGATGTTCATTTTAAAGTGTGGAAATGACGCATTTTGTGCTTTAGTGGTTGGAATTCAATTGATTGATTGGTTCATGGTTGAATGATTGTGTCTTATTGGAGAGTGCGTCAGTGTTTATGCTATCTTAAAAGTGTGATGATAATGTGCCAAAAATATTTAATTCTTGAAATATTCTTTGGAAGTTACCTCTTTACACCAAGTGAGAATTGCATAGAACCAATTAGGTTTACATTTTTTGTATGCTTGCATGTTATTCACCTCTTATATTATTTAGATCTTAGTAAACACTAGTACAGAATTGCAAATAGGCAACAATTGTAAAAGACAATAGGCAACCATTGTACAATGGTCGCCTATGAGAGGCTCGCGGAAAGGCATCGACTTTACGCGACCATTGTGAAATGGTCGTGCATTGTCAGCAATACGCAACCATTCTTGACCAAGAATGGTCGCGTATTGTTTTTTTAATTTTTTTTTACAAAAGTTTTACGCGACCATTCTTGGACAGGAATGGTCGCGTAAGAATGGTCGCATATTGTTGATTTAAAAAATAAAAAAAATTAAAAATAATTTTAAAACTATATTTATTTTACACCATGTACAATTACATTACATATTTACAATTAAAACGTTATATGCCAACTGCATACTAACATCATTTATGCCCATCATTTATACTAAAATGTTTACAATACCCACCCAAGACGGGCTTGTTTCCTTAAGAATAGCGCGCTCAACCTCCTCTACTGCTGCAATGTGGTCCGGTTTCCCCCAGAATTCGTCTTCGCACAGGGTCCTTCAGCACAGAATGCTCTTTCATCCCTAATACTTTCTGCACAGCATCCAACACCAGCTTGAAATTCATGTCTCCAAGTGTTTGCTAAGACCTTTGTTTTCTCTGTAAATTTGTTAAGAAAACTCAGCCACAACATTACTCATATCACCCCATTAAAATTGTTAACAAATAGCACAAAATATAAACTCTATAATCTCTAAAGACCAAACTACAATGCATCGCAGCTAACCGTAAACTGCACAACACAATTAATTATGTTCAACAAGCATAATCTCTATAATGTGACTCAAGCATGAATACTGTATATCAACAATTAATTAGTTCATTTAACTCATGAAAGAATTTAATGGCCTAATTTACACTTACAGAAAGGATTACAGAAAAAGTACGTTGTGGAATTTTTTTCTTAAGCTAGAGGAGCATGCTTGTGGAATTCTCTTATTGAGCACTAAAATTTTCTAATCTTAACATACATGTTAAAAGTACGTTGTTTACAGGTAATACCTCCATCCATGCTCCCCATGAATTCCAACTCTCAACAAAAGATCCACAAAGCAAGGTTCCACTTTCCAGTAACAGAGGCTGGAATAAGAAGCAATTGCAACTTATTGTAACCATAAAGGAATAAAAAATGTTTGAACGAACCGCTCATACCTTGTTCTTTATTGGTCCTAGTATACCGGGGGAAGCTGTTCTCTCTCATTCCATGTCATACCAATATGATAGAAGAAAAGCTGTTAACCTCCTTTCATGGATGTAATCGTAGGCCTTTGAGTGTGCAATTGCCATCCAGTGCATGGCTTGATTGAAAACACCAGTGGGTAAAGCAGAAGTAGCAACCTCCAGCATATCAGGATTACCACCAGGCCAAGCACCAGCACAATAAGTGAGCATACAGAACACATGAGGCTCATTGAATGTTACCCAGTAGTCCACAACATCTGATACAGAGTCAACGACAAGCCTACGAAAAGGAAGTAAATATTGGTAAAGCTTGTAATAGACACATATTTTCTATAGCACTATGTTGTAATGCTGCTAGTCAGGTTCTAAAAGATAAAACAAGGCATTATTCCAGCAAATTAATTGAGCAGATAAAAGAAAGAATTTCTGCAGTATTCCGTTCCTCCAGCCAAGTTACAAGGGATTCCATTGCAGAGTAAAAATCCTATTTTTAGGCATATAAAGTGAGTGCTCAGTAAATTATAAATATATGCCTGTTCAGCATCTTGATCTAAGCTCATACAGAGCCTCCAACCTGGTAAATTCCAAGAAGTAGTCAATGGTCTTTTCCATCTTCCACCCCCCATATTCTCCAGCCCATGGTGGAAGCGAGTGATGGAATAATGTCAGCATTACCTTCATCCCATAAAATCGCACCCTATTTACAATCCATTTATATCTCTCCAAAGCTGCATAGTTAACCTACGAATATATCAAGCAACATATTTTATTACAATCCTTTATAAATTCTATGTCTTTGTTCAGACCATAAACATTAGGATCCAAAGTTATGAAACTAGCAAAACCCTTGATAAGCATCTGTGCAAAACTATATAGATTTTGGTATTCTCTCATATCAAGAGTCGATACACACACACACTTATAATAGTCGTGAGTGACCAACAACCTGTGGTCTGAGAGGAAAGAGCTCAGTTTCCCTTTATCAAAGTCTCGGGTTCAAGCCTTTTGAATAGAGTAATAGGAGTTGGGAGGGCTGCCCCTCCCCCTCAAAGGGAAAATGGGGTCAAATAGAAGCTTGACTCAGGATAAGTCAAAGCCCAATGTAGCTACTAGATTGTGGGGGATCATGGTAGCAAAATTGAAAGAGTCATGAGTCAGACTTACAGATTCTTTCAGACCATTCTTGGGCTCTTCAAGCATAACTCTTGACCAATCAATTCCCATGCTAAACACTTGGACTCCAGTATCCTTTGCCAGCTTCAATTCTGTGTCAGGATCAGACCAAAACCTTAGCCTTTCCTCCCTGAAATAAATGGAACAGTCCATTTGTTTTTATTTCAATTCTATGCATATTATGATGGAAAGCTTAAGTTCAAATGAAAAATGCCATGATCTTATAGGTGTAGCTTCAAATACTGTGGAACTCAGTTCTCCGAAGTTCAAGAAAGATAGCTTAATGGGTCATCAACTTCAGCCCAATTAAAATTGAGGCATGTATGCATTAATATGCTATTAGCTAGACATCAAAACATTATGCTAGGTTCATTGAACTTACGGGTGTGGAACATTATGCCAGGCAGCAACAGTATGATGACATGCCTCTGCAGGCACAGATTCTTCTACTTCTATGTACTTCTCAAATCCTCTAATTTTTGCCTCCACAGCTATCTTAAGTGACTTCCTTCTTTTTATGGTCTGAGAAGTTGCTCTTGGTAGTACTGAAGCTTGTTGGGTGCCACCATCACCTGTAGCAGAGGCCAATAGTGCATCTGCTAGTTGGGATTCATTATTTGATTTTGATTGTTCACAAGGAGTCTCTTCAGCAAACTGGAGCCAAGCATCATTAAGGCTGTCTTCCACATGTGCTGGTGCAGTTGCCAATCCGAAGAAGAACCCTTGCTCACCTTCTATAGAATATCAGGCAGACAAAGGAGTTGTTTTCATTAATTGGGTGCTAATGTTAATAGTATAGAGTACAATTATATATACGGAGTATTATTTTTATTCTATATGATACTATCAACATATATCATTTATACAAATAGTATGAGTACAATTAAGTATACTATACATGATTGGACGAAAAATCCTATAATTAAAATTGCATTATATTGTAAAAGAAGTGTACCTTATGCCATTAGGCAAGACCACTTCTTCTTCCTTCTCAACGTCTCTAAGAAAATTAATCAAACAGTTAGAGTGCCTCAAAGCCATCAACACATAAATTAAGCAAGAAACATCACAAGTACAGAATTGGAAGAAGATCAAATCCAATAGCCATATATACATTAAAATCTTCATTCTTAGATTAAAATATTTGTGTGTATACATATAATATACCTTGTATTTGCTTCTTGTTGAGACACTTCAAGTCTAGTCTTGATCTGCTTAGAAATGACTCCAAAGGCCAAGAATCCGGCCCAAGCAAGGCCGGCGCCGAGCCCAAACCTCCTAGTCAAGCTAGAGGCAATCCAATCGGTGGATTCCACAGTTGTTGAGCGTTGAGGCTTGCTGCTAGGCTTTAATTGGTCTGGCTTGGCCGCCAATGGTGGCTCTGCAGAAGCTGAGCTCAACTGTTGCGGCGGCTGAGGAGGAGGAGGAGCTTGCGGTGGTGAGGCTTGGTTTGGTGGCTGAGACGGCGGCGGCTGTGAGGATGAGGAGAGGTGGTTGGTTCTTGTAGCGGGGCGAGGTACAAGTGTTGGGGATCCAAAGAAGGTTGTCATTTTTTTGTTGGTTTAAACGTTTGGATATTATCAGATTTCCCCGCCGATTGAGAGCTTGATGGAGCAATCGAAGCACCGCCGGCGATTTTGCGAGGAAGAAAGGGAGATAGTGACTGCTGTTGTTGGCGTTAGACTAGGGTTTGTAAGTGTTTGAAGATCTGGTGGTGAGACGATTTGTGCGTGAATGAAGCTTTTAGATCTACTGTGCGTGGGATACGATTTCTGATCTATTAGATTTAGGGTTAATATTAGGCAACCATTCCTATTAGAAATGATTGTCTATTATAAAACAACTTCTATTTTAAGGCAACCATTTATATAGTATAGAAATGGTTGCCTATTATAAATTAATTTTCTTTTAATTAAATAAAAAATACAATGGACAACCATTACAGATAACAATTGTGGCGGATTATTACTCACTTATTTACAAAATTACCACCGCGAATTTTTGGGCTAAGATTAGGCCACCATTCTTTCAACAATGGTGGCCTATGTTCAATTTTGTACTAGTGAAACGATCTCTCGAAGTGGGAGTGTGTACTCTTCAACCTTGGAAAGATGAACAAAAGGTGAGCCTTGTGGTGAGAATTGAATAAAAAAAAATTCTCTAATCCCAAAAGCAAAACCATGAGTGAAAGAAGAAGAGGGGTAAAAAAAAAAAAAAAAAAAAAAAAAAAAAAAAAAAAAAAAAAAAAAAAAAAGAGAAGAAGGCAAGACCAAAACAATGGCCAACAAAAGGAAAGAGAGAAAAAATGAAAGAGGGAGCCATTGCTTATGTCGGGATCACAAAAGATTCTCCCGGGCTAAAACATAGAGATCTATGCCGTGGAGAGTCGATCTTTGGCATAAGGGTGGAGGCGAGAGAGAACCAACGCTTAAGCCGGGATCGTGCAAGGTTGAGGCTGGTGAGCGGTCCATACCAAACCTTTCACTAACTTTAATGTAAAGGACCTTGGCGTTATAAGGGTGGATATCGGTTGGGATGTACACATCGTTTCCACTAGTGTGGCTCGGCTATAGGCCCTTATAATATAGGAGGTGAATTTGAAATTTTTGCATGCTTGAACTAGTGTGGAGAGTATGTTCCCTTGAGTTTAATTTTATCATTTGCTAGGGGTTTTTGCTTCATTAGAATATTCATTGAATTGCGAAGTATGGCACATGGTTGACACACTTGTTTGATAGCATGAAGGATTTCACCCCCTCCGTTGAGTCACGCACACTTCCCGATTGACCAATTGTTTGATTGAATTCACATAAAGCATCTTTGTCACTTATCAATCCTTGAGTTGAATTGAAACCTTGCTCGAGGACGAGCAAGAATTAAAGTGTGAAAATTTGTGATAAGTGCCAAATATGCTATGTTTTATAGGGTATGTAGGAGGAATATTGTGCTATAATTGGAGTTCTGTATGCCTAATTGATGCTTAGAATAGCTTAATTTGATAAAAGTTAGGATTAAGGACTAATTTCATTACCTTTGTAGGAAAATAGCAAAACAATGTCAATTTCAGGGCATTCCGGCGAAAGTTCGATAGAATGATCATATTTTGAGCTAGGAATGTCCAAATGAGGTTATTCAAGTGGCTATGGTTCGGCAACTTCAAGGGCTACAACTTTGGTAAAGGGAAAAAATTCTAGAAAGATCCACGAAATTCACAATGAGCGTTGTCAGTTCGTGGACGGGCCACTTAAATGAAATTTCAGATTTTAAGCCTATTTAAAAGCTTGTAAGGGGATCATTTTGGAAGACCTTTTTCCCATTTCCTTTACTCTCATATTCAGCTCTCTTAGGTTAGGTTAGATTAGGGTTTATCTTTTCTTTTCATTTTCTTAGATTAGATTTACATTTCACACCTAGAATTCATTGTTCAACATTTCTATTAGATTATAAGCATCTAGATTGAAGACTTGGGTAACATTTCTTCTCCTTATTCATATTTCATATATAATTTGTGCATTGTGATCTTATACATGATGATGAATTGGTAGACATCTAGGTTTTGGATTGGTATTGGATTGTGTGTGTGTTCTTATGCTTTGAATGTATGAATGATGAGATTGGTTTTACGTATTGGCCTTGTATGCCTTTGTTGTACAGGAGTGCATATTGATCTTTTTCCATTGAATTCTCTAATGGTTAGATGAGTGTGGGAGTGCGAGTTTAGCAAGAGATTGCACTCTCCTTAGTCTTGCCCTTGCAATCCCCTTCGTACGACCCGAGAGGGCGAGCTTAGGGGAGGAGACGGTAGACCGCCCACCAAGTGTTTGATAGAATGCCTCGCTCGACGTACGGAATGAGTCACTAGGTCCTACGCGTCCTAGTGATGGTTCCTTAGGTCTCCCTAGGTTAGCCAAGCCATATACCCACTCTTGTCTACTTAAGACCAATGAGTGCACAAACCAAAATTCCAATTTCATCCAAATCCCTGTTTTAATTGTTCATATTTGTGTCTTTTGTTTTCTTTCACTTTCTTATGTTTCTCACTTCCACACACAACTACCAACACCCCTACCTTGCACCTAGTTCATCCATTGATACATTGTGACAAAGGATTGTCTTGCGCGCACTTTACTTGCTCCGAACGACCATCTTTGAGTTCGACACTCGGGGGTTTCAAAATTCCCGTTTACACTTACACACACCTTCCACCACAATTAATAAAAATCATTTGTCAGGACTTTGAATGAAGATGTGTTCATGACACAGCCTCCCAGTTTTGTTGATCATACACTACCCTAGCATGTGTGTCGGTTACGAGTGTCGCTGTATGGTTTGAAACAAGCCCTCGGGCTTGGTACAATGAGTTTCGTAATTACCTTCTACAGCTTGGTTTTAAAAATTCGAAGGCAGATACTCTACACTCATCATACAGACTTTGTCTATGTCCTTGTGTATGTTGATGATATAATTGTAACCGGCAAACGTGAAAATTTTGTTTATTCTTTTATTTCTTGTTTGGCTCGCAGGTTTTCTTTGAAGGATCTTGGTTCCCTTCCCTTCTTTCTTGGTGTTGAAGTGTCTCCCTGCTCACACAACTTCTTATTCAACCAAAAGAAGTACATTTATGACATACTTTGTCTGCTGGGATAGTGGATGCTAAACCTGTGGCCACACCTATGGTTGTTTCTCCTCCACTACATCTTACAACCGAACACACTCTTTCAGACCCGTCTGAGTTTCGGGCACTAGTTGGGAGTTTGTAGTCTCTTTCATTGACTAGACCGGATGTAGCATTCGTTCTTAATAAAATTTCTCAATTTCTGGCAGCACCAACTATAGATCATTGGGTTGCACTAAAACGTCTACTTTGGTATCTATGCAGAACTTTGGATCATGGTATTTTCCTTTCTGCTAATTCTCCGGTGCAACTTCATGCTTACTCTGATGCTGATTGGGCTGGTGACAAGCATGATTACCGTTCTACAGGAGCTTATATTGTTTACTTAGGATGCAATCCTATCTCGTGGAGTTCTAAGAAATAGTGAATTGTTGCCCGCTCCTCTACAGAAACCGAATATCGCGTTGTTGCTATTACTGCTGTGGAACTTACTTGGATTTCTTCTCACCTGGGCGAGCTTGGTTTTTCTCTCCCAAAGAAACCAGTTATTTATTGCGATAATCTTGGAGCAACCAATCTCTGTGCAAACATAGTTTTTCACTCTTGTATGAAGCATGTTGCTCTTGACTTTCATTTTATTCGTGAGCGTGTCCAGAGTGGTGCACTTCGTATTTCTAATATTGCAAGCCTCTACCACGTCGGGACTTTCAGCTTTTATTGTCCAAGATTGGCCTTGCCGAACGATTGTCCATCTTGGGGGGCATGATAAGAGTTAATATAGTATAAATACTTTCATTGAATAATGCAAATTCACCAATTCTTCACTAATCTACATTAAAAACCAAGACTGGCCGGACTAGAGCCATATACATTGGTGACGACTTTTCCCCTTCATCCACGCTAAAGAATGTTCCACTGGATGCCTAACTCGGTATTGTTGTTGACGAGAAAATTAGAGTTTCCCTCCGTATACAGCAAAACAATGATACATTCGCACGCCACCGCTCCAACCAACTGAACACTCTACCGACCACTTGTTTGGTATTCTCTTGCTCGGAGCACGGATAATTATTGAGTGAGATGAGAGCGATGATGTACCTTCTGTTCAACCGTGCCTCAAGATTCTTGGAGGCAGGATTCGGAGTTAGCAACTAACGATGCAACCGTACGAATAACGACGCAGAGAACCTACTATTGTTCCTTGATGCTCACTCCATTGTAGTCGACCATTGCAGGGAGCGGTTTGTCAGCAGATCGTCGTTCGTAATTTGCAATGGAGAAGTGCAGCGTGGCAATAAAATGTAGAGGTAGTGGTACCTTGCAATGACTCAGTATTATTGATTCCTAATTGTTCAAACTCCTAGCTTTGAAATTTCGCTGCTGTTGCTAATGCTTTCCTGGAAGATGACTACTTCGCGAGAGGCCTGCTGTCTACTTTTGGCTTGCTATGATAGTCGGAGGGTCTTCTTGGCGTTTAAATTCTCTACTCATGCCTAAACGGTCGTGCACATGGATGCTTAATCAGAGAAACATAATCTACACTTGGACTTTCCTTTTAATCGCGCATACGTACTTGCCATAATTCTTTGGTCTTGAAATTCCCTTTGGTTGCCACGTTTGAGATACATGCCAGCAACTTTGCATTGCCACCTTTTAGAAATCAATGTTTTCATGCGACAATGGGCCTTGTATGGAAATTGTTGGAAAAAGTGAGTGAGAATTGTTTAGGCTTCACTGATATCCCCATTAATTTCCATGTGTGGGTGCATGCTAACCCAAAACCTTCCATATGTCTATGTGCATTGATTTGGTAAATTGGAAATGGGTTGCCAAATTAAAAGTGCTCCAGCCTCTCACATTTTCTCCAAGTCTGCTACGTACTAAAGGCATGCAATATTCTCTATATGAGAATTGTAACTTCATACTGCAATATTT